TTCTTCTTTGTGAAAGGGTAAAGAATTGGTATTATTTCCTTAACTGCTTGGTAGGATTCAGCAGGAAAATCACCTGTCTAGGCTTTTCTTTGTGACTTGTGTTTGGATTTCTAGTTACTGATTTGAATTACATTTTTCTTGAGGCATTCCTGCAGTCTTTCTAGGAATTTGTCTTTTATCTATAATTTATTACCAAATGGTTGTTTATAGTATTCCTTTATAATCCTTTTTACTTTTTCAAGATTAGTAGTAATGTCCTCTATATTGCTTTTTCCTCTGTTAATTTTGTCTGTCTCCTGGTTTGTTAAATTCTACTGATGGTTTCAGAGAACCATCTTTTGCTTCCGTTAGTTTTCTGTTCTTGTATTAATTTCACCTCTAATTCTTATTGCTTCCTTTTGCTTGCTTTAGGTTTAGTTTGCACTTTATTTTTCAGATGAAAAGTTATGTTATTAACTTAAAATCTTTATTTTTTTAAAATATAGAGACTTCTATAGTCATAAATTTACTATTCTTATATATTGCGTCAGTTGTATTTAATAAGTTTGGTGTGCTGTATCTTCTCAAACTGTTTTCTAATTTGCCTCTTGATTTCTTCTTTGATTCAGTGGTCATTTGGGGATGCATTTAATTTTCACATATTTGTGAGTTTTTCAGATTTCTTTTTTATTGGTTTCTTATTTCATTCCGCTGTAATTGGAGAACATACTTTATATTATCTCAATCTTTGTAAATTTGTTCAAGTTTATTTTATTGCCTATCTACCATGTGACCTATCCTGGGGTACATTCTGTGTGAATCTGAAATGAATGTATATTCTGCTGTTGTTCAATGGCATATTCTAGACTTTTAGGCCTATTTGGCTTATGGTAGTGTTGTTATAGTGTTGCTATTCAGTCTTTTTTCTTTCTTGGTCTTATGCTTAGTAGCTATGTCCATTATTGAAAGTGAGGTATTGAAATGTCAACTATCAACTCTCCAATTGTCTATTTTTTCACTTGTGTCAGTTTTTCCATCATGTATTTCTGTGTCTTATACTGGGTACTGTCTGTGTGTAACTGTTATTTCTTCCTGATGGATTGTCACTGAACAGTGTCATTCTCTGTTGCCAATGACCTTTTGGTTTAAAGTCTGTGTGTCTGCTACAGTATTAGTATTTAGCCACTTCACCGTTCTTGTGGTTGCTGTTTGCATGATACATCTTTTTCCATATTTGAATTTAGTTGCATCTCTGAATTTAGAGTGTGTTTAATGTAACAACATATAGTTTGATTTTTTTTTTATAATCAGTGAGGATTTGTTCTCTTAGTTCTTTCAAGAGTTTCTTTGATTTTGAGCATTTTTATTATGATGTATTTCTTCATGGATGTGTTTATATTGACCCTACTTAGTGTTAGGAAGTTTTCAGACAGTCTTTGAATACTTTTTCCACTCCATTCTCTCTCTTCTCTCCTTTTGTATGTGTGTGTGTGTGTATATATATGTATGTATATATATACATATATATAATTTATATAATGGTTGTTTAATTTCTACTGAGGCACTATTTCTTTTTCTTTTTATTCTTCATGTTACATAATTTCTGTACTATCTTTAAGTTTTTCTTTCCTCTGTCAGTCATATGTGTTGTTGAGGAACTCCTCTAGTGAATTTTTGTTCAGTTACTGTACTTTTCAACTCCAGAATTTTATTTGATTCCACTCATCACTTATGAATCCAATTATTTAAATACAGGATGACCAAAATTGTATTTTTGATTAATTTTCATAAGATAACAGAAAATATAAAAGTGAGAATTTTACCAAATTTATTCAATATAAGAATCAACTGGTTGAAATGACACTTGCCCAAGAGACACTCGGGATAGTCAGCACATAAACACATGATGCTTGGGGTAAATTTTTAAGTGTCACTCTTTTTATAGATCAACTTTATTGACATGACATTACCAATATGCCTTTCTTTACTTTTAAAATCATGGTTTATGGCAGATTTTTGAGCACATTTAGAGCGACTACTTTGAAGTCTTTTTAAAATCTGACATCTGGTCACTTCACGGGCAGTTTCTGTTTGCTTTCCCCGCTACCATAGAGATCATACGTGTCAGATTTTTGTTGTTAGAAACTGGGTATTTTCAGTAACGTATTGAAGCAACTCAGTGTATTGCCCTCTCCCTACAGAGCTTATTATTATTTGGTTATTTATTTAGGGACTAGCTGTGTTGTTTTAGTGAGGTCTGTTCCCTTGTACATTTTCCCTTTGCAGTGTTTGTACTTTGATGTTGTTCTTCTGGGAATGCAGCCCTAGGCAGAGCCACAGTCCTTTGAATGACAGTGTGACTAGGCTCTCTTACTCTTTCCCTGACCACACGAGGTAGCTATTAATCCCACAGGGTAGAGGATGGTTGTCTTAGTGTATTCAGTAATACCCTGGGGCAAAATTGCTGTCCAGATCAATACAAAGAAATCCAGACTCCTTAGAAGGGATAGTGTGAGGTACCTGGGTGTGTGTAGGAGGGAAGAAGGGAGGAAGGTGGGGGGTTGGGAGGGTGCCCGTTCCAGCGTCCCTTTGCTAGGCTAACTAGATAGCTACAGTTTACTTTCTATCTCTAATGAACTTACTTGTGATCTCCCGATTGCCTTTTTTTTAATAGCAACCTTCACTGTTTCAGAGTATTCTTTTTTTTTTTTTTTGGTTTTGGTTTTTCTCCGGAACTGGGAACCGAACTCATGACCTTGCGCTTGCCAGGCAAACGCTTTTGCCGCTGAGCTAAATCCCTGGCCCCTGTTTCAGAGTATTCTTAGGCTAAAGCACCTCCATTCTCTGTTTCAAATAAAATTTCTTTTGGAATGCGGTTAGGAGCTATCTTATGGCCTGTATCTCCTTCCGTAGACAATTCCTTGAACCAAGGCTCTGGAGATGGGGTGGTGACAGTGGCATGTTTCTCTCTGAGTGACACCTATGCTTTAGCAGTGCTGAGGGCAACATTAAGGAAAGTAAGTCATACCGGTTTGCTTTTTCTGTCAAGAAAGCAGCTCATTGCAAGCAGTGGTAAGGACAGATGGGACCTCTATATATCCTTGTTTATCCTTGTCAGCATGCCCCATTGAAGGTAGAACCTTTGTCCTACCAGCTGGAGCTAAGACCAGAAAGTGGGTTCTGCCTCTCGGCCATGTCACCTGGGTGTTGTATGGAATAGAATTGAAGATGCTTTCTGAAATTAAGAAAGTCTTGAGGTGTGTATCCAAGAGTAAGGCAGGCACGTTCACATCAAAGTTTGTGCATATGTTCATAGCAGCATTATTCACAGTAGGCCAAAGTGGACTCCCAAATGTCTGTCCACTAATGGAAAAGCAGAATGAGTTGTAGCATACAGGAGAATAATATTTGGCAATCATTCCTTTTAGAATGAAATACTAATCTGTGCTACAATGTAGGGAAACTTCGAAAACATGTTAAGTGGAAAGCCAGTCACAAGGCCTATTCTGAGATTGCTTTTATATGAAATTTTCAGTGTGTGAAAATCCATGTAGACAGAAAATAGATTCATGGTTGCCCATGGCTAGGTTGCGGGTGTAGAAGTAGAGTGTGATTGTTTACTGGGTATAGTTTTCTTTGTGGGGAGATAAAAATGTTCTAAACAAATTGTTTTGCATATCTTTGAATATAGTGAGAACCATTGAATTCTGTACTTTAGGTGAATTTTATCGTCTAAATTATGTGTCAAAGATACTAAAACAAAAGAGAAAGTTTAATCACTTTGTATTTTAAATTTTACAAGACATACCTGTTTTCCATTAAAATATTAATTGTGCCAAACTTGCAGAGCTTTTGTGATCATACAAGTTATAACAGGATCATATTATTTAATCCAAGTCAGAAGTCATATCTGTGAGGAATACATTGTGATCTAATGCAACTAACTAACTTTTAGTGGATTCATACTAGTTTTTAATACTGTCTCATATATTGATAAGTTGCTCTAGGTCGGTCATAAATTTTTCAGTAGCTTTGACTTTTGTGATACTTTTATTTCTAGGCTTATAAATAAGTTCTGCAATTTCTTAATACTTTCTAAATGATTCTTTAAAAATGCTGATAATATTAATTTCTACCATTTCTACATCAGAAACCACTAATTAACAAAGCTTAGCTTTGTTGAATATATTACTTTTTAATCCTATCTCTTCAAATATTTTGGCATATTTAGGTCACATGCTTATATGTACCTTATTTTTTATCCTTCCTGATAATCCCTTGCTTCTCGATGTAATAAAAGAATGTTTGTTTAATTGGTGGTCCTGCTGTGGTAGATACTTACGATAACTTGTCTCTGAATATGTTTTTTGCAAGGACATCTCAGTAACGCTTTTGTCTTTTCTTTGTATTCTCAGGAAAAAAGGGATAGAAATATTTCCTCAAATTTCTTTCATCATTTTTTTTTATTTTATGGAAAAAGTAAAGCAAAATTCCATAACAAAATAATAGGAGAATAACAATAATATATTACATGTTGTTATTGTTAAAGTAGTTGCTCAGGGTTCTTTTATCATCTTAAGTTTTCTAAAAGGTTAGGTTCTTTTTTCCCCAGTAAATTGTTTTCTAATAAAATTAGGCATATGTATCAAGGAAAAACATGTCTTAATACAGATAAGGTGTAAAAAAATCTGTCGTTTTCCCAATTTTTTTTGTCTTTTAGTAAGTTGTAATACTTTAAAAACCATTTAAAAGTAACCTTCTTGGAAAAAGGTTACTTTAAAATGTTTTAAATATTTATACATAACTAAGAAAAGCATATTCTAAAAACTTTTTTGGAAATTATAAAATTTGTTGAATTGTTTATCTAAAAAAAGTGAATAGCTGTTATTCCCTAAATAGAATAGATTAAATAGATTTAAATATGAATTCTAGAATTAATAAAATAAATAGATTAAATAGATTTAAATATGATATAGAAACTTGTCATGTGATATATTGGATTATTCCCCCTTCTTTTTCAGGAACTCTTGGTGTAATAACAGAAGCTACAATAAAAATCAGACCAACCCCTGAATACCAAAAGTATGGCTCGGTAGCTTTCCCTAATTTTGAACAAGGAGTAGCCTGTTTAAGAGAAATTGCAAAACAGGTAAAAAAAAAAAAGGAAAAAACGAAGATATACATATTTATATTTTAAAAATTCTACTGCATAATTGTGATGTTATAAGTAATCTTCATATTTAGTTGTGTTGTATTTTTGTGGTTTTTACCCAGGTCTGTATGCAAAGACAGTGTTGTAAAATCATCCCTTTAAGTGCAGTTACAATTTGTTTCAGTAGTTACATTGTTGTCACCCCTATTTCCTGGTTTAAAGAGGGCTCTGTGATTTTAAGCCAAGGTAAAGTATGTGCTTGAATTGATGGGCATTTGAATGGTTCTGTCTTTCACTGAGTGTTATGTTTCTTAAAGTATTTTTGAATATTTTGTGATTAATAGAAGTGATATTTGTATTAAATTGACACTTACTGAAATTAGAAGTAATTGGCTGATTATCATTTACCCCAGAGCTCAGCAATTAAATATAAGTAATCAAACTTCATTAATACATAGAATGTATTGCTAGACTCTCCCTTGTTTTAGGCTATTAAATAATATAATGCAGTATAGCATGTATAACAGTATATTTAGCTATGGGCTAGAAAGAATTCCAATTTTTTCTTCTTTCCTTATTAAACGAAGTTATATTACTGATTTTTTAAAGAAATTAAATAGTGCCATGTAATCTTATTTCTGTATTCAGTTTTGTTCATGAGTGTGGAATTCCTGTGTTTCTTTAGGCATTTGTTTATTGTTTGAGCTGCGTATTTGATGCATAATTCTTATTGCAGTGTTTCTCTCAGGAAGCTAAGCGAATATACTCAGCTCTTTCTTCCTGCTCATTTAAAACTCCTAGGTCTCTTTAACCCTTCTTACCCACCATGCTCAACTAGAGTCTTTGTCAAAAGAGGTTTTTGATGTGATCCCTCTAAATCACTTTCTGCTTGGTATCTAGAGCAGGGTTGAGGGAAACACTGGTGAAGCAAAGGAAAACTGTTCAGCAGGGAGCCCAGATTATTGTGGCAGAGTCTTATTTCTCACCATTCCAAGACAGCCATTTTTAATGTTTAAAGCAGTTTAAAATCAAAACACAAATCAGATTTTCCTGTATGTATACTCGTTGTAGTGTTCCTTGTTGTGTACACTCAGTTTTGTGTTTGTGTATGTGTTTGGTGGTGGTGGTTGTTGTTGTTTGAGACAGCATCTTGCCGTGTAGTTCAGGCAGGCCTTGAACTTAATTATGCATGTTGGTATGTAGTTCAGGTAGGCCTTGAACTCTTGGCAATCCTCCTGCCTCAGCCTCCTGAGTGCTGGGTTACAGGCATGTGCTACCATGCCCAGCTTTAGTTTTGCTTTCTGAGATGCTTGTTCTACTTTACAGTTTCCCCTTTTCAAGAAGTCTAGGTATATGATTATCTAATTTAACAATTAAATTTTATCAGCTAGATTGCTGGACTTGGCAGAGGCCCCTTGCCAGTCTCCTGGGGTAGGGCAAAGATTCAAAAGGACGTATGGTCCTGATATGAACTGTTTTGGAGTAGGTACTTTGGTTTTATTAGTTCACAGTTAAATGTTAGCAGTTGAAATCCTTATGTAAGATCTCCTAACTCACTAGAACTTTAGGTGATAAACTTGGGAGTTGGCATAGTGAGTACTACCTCATGTTTGCTAGAATGATGGAGGGCAATAATATTTAGTAGAATTATTAAATAAAGAAGATGTGGAGGTAAGTTCTAGGAGTAAATAATACTTATTATGCTAAAATATTGTCTGAGCTCTGAGCAGTGAAGTTCAAGTGTACTGATACTTGTTTGTGAAATCTTCCATCACTTAAAGACCAAGGAAAGTATAGTAACATCAAATTTAAGCCAACCTAAGTATTTGGAAGTAACAAATGCATTTATAGAGCTTTATGGTTTTGCTTTTGAGTTAATATCCTGAAAAATGGGAACTGGAGTGCTTATCTAGCATGTTTGAGGTCCTGGTTTCAGCCTTCAGAACAGACAGACACTCTCTCTCTCTCTGTCTCTCTGTCTCTCTCTCTCTCTATCTCTCTCCCTCTCTCTCTCTCTCTCCAAACAAAAACAAACCTTATACTGGATCTATATTTTGGAATAGATAAAAGTCACAGTTGCTAGGAAGTGCCACCTTCGTATACTACAGTTAAACACAGATTTTTTTTAACACTTGAAGTGGACAGCTTCTAGGCAAATACTGTAGATGAGAAAGCTTGCTTTTTCTTGAATAAAAATCCAGACAGATAATACCTTACTTTCAAATATCGCTCCTATTCATGAAACAGTTGCTCAGAACAGTTACTGTGATTTGAGGATGTTACGTTATTTTGGAACCTGTGTATTTATGTGCATATAGAAGGGCACTAATTTTAAATGGATGTAAGATTTTATACTGCTTTAGGGACATTTGCCTGTCAGTTCACAGAATGTACAAATCTTACATGTCAAAAGTGGGACACTGTTTACTGCTCTTCTTTGTAACAGGATTCTCAGCCTTTTTTCTCATGAAAAAAAAAATGATCAGATTTTGGCACCAATCATTGTTCAATTTGGGATTTGGAATTTGAGCTGATAGCAGGAGAATTAAGATCCATTAAAATAGACAGTCCATGGTTTATGCTTGTGCCAAATTCTTGATTGAATAATGAGTTGGCTGCTTCTAATTCTTCACTGTCATTTCATAGCACTTCCATTTTTCCAATATTTTCAGACTCAACTTGCTTTTGAAATGAGAAATAATTTTGGATGAGTATGTTTTGGAAAGGAGCGTATGTGATTGTTCACAAATAGCACAGTGGGCTCCCTGTATGTTTTCATTACTCTTCTTACTGAAGGAAATACATTAAGCAACCTAACACTGGCAGCAGAAGGATTCTACTAAGATCTCTCATCTGATCTTTGTCCATGTGAGGAATTGTCCTCTTTCAGTACTTCATTGCTTTGTGAGGAGCTAGAAAGGAAGATCTAGTGGACGATTAATGTGATTCTTTCTCATAAGTGGCAAGCCGGTATTACCTCCAGTTGTACTCAGTAGATAGGTAAGTGATTTTTAAGATTTTTCAGAACAGATTTTCTGTTGTAGCTCCCCAAGTTGGGGAAACAGGATGTTTCTAAAATCAGAATATCAGTATGAGATACAGTAATTTATTCCCTTTTGTAGTTTGTCTGGAAATGACAGTGATGTCTTTACAAGGTTTGAAGGGAAAAGTGAATATTGAAATAAACTGAAAAGCAGTTTTCAAAGTTATGGGGTTTTGTGTTTTGTTTTCAATAAAAATTTAAGAGTTATTCCCTTGTGATACAGAGAGATGAGCATTTGTTCCAAAAGGGCAAAACTGCCTATATTTGGGATGGACAGTACTCATTGTCTTGCAAACTGTCTTTCTCAGTATCAGAACTAAGTTTTTAGAATTGTAGGTTAAAAGGCTGATTTTTCTCTCATTACCTTTTGACAAGGATGGCCTTTTCTACCTTTCATAACATTCATTGTAATCAGTTTTAGACTGTGAAGTATTTTTTTTCTAGTAACTTTAAGAGTATAATGTCGGATAGTTTGAATTGTTCTGAAAAAGTTTATCCACAGAGATTCAAGTAAATTGAAAGAAGTATTGTTTAACACATACCTTATAAAATAATTAAAACTTATATTCAGCAATAATTCTTGGGAATATTTGTTACATATAGGAAAAGGAGTTGTCATTTTAAATTGTTTGTGTGTATGTATGTGTGTTTGTATGTATGGACATATGTATGTGTGTATGATACTTTGCTCTTTCTAAAGCACAGAGAATAACGCTAGTCAAATGCTTGGTTAGTTAGATTCTTTACTATGTGATCCAGCAAAATGAGGATAATTACAAGATATGCTGGGTACCTGAAGCTTCTCAGAACAAATTATTTTAACTTTCTTAAGCTGCAAATTGTAATGAGGAGACTGGCCTAAATTTTGACTCTTTCCTAAATATGAAATAACTGCACATATTATATATTATTGCATTCTTTGAAGCCCACAAGATAATTGTCTTTTAAAGATAAAGTTATTGTTTACAATATAGACCTCTTGGCTATAAGCCAGTAATTTTAAATATATGTTTTTATCTGTTGTATCAACTCTGATTAATGTTAGAGGAAGAATCTGTCTACATTCTAAGTTTTAATTTCCAGAAATCTGCCTTCAAAAGATTTCTCTTTTTGGAACTTTTAAAATTAATTAATTTTATCATCACCTCTTGCATGAGTTGCTGTGGTCTTAGTTTTATAAGCCAGACAGTGCAGTGGATAGTATGCATGTTAAATAGACGTGGTTCCTGCCTTCTAATGACCAGTAAGGTTAACACCTACTGTGATGAATTCTCTTAAAGTTCTGTATAGCATTGCACATGTGGCTTAGGTTTGAAGCATTTGGTTCTGATATGATATGAAATAAGTAGACTATGATACAGCCGTTGGCTCAGGAATCTGGGCTATTTCTAGATTCTACACAGAACGTTTGATTTACTCCTTGATGAAACAAACCTTTTCAATTCAAAGATGACTCCTTAGCCATGATGCCAGAGATATAGAACCATTCATCATTTATACTTTTATAATTTAATCCTTAAGAACTGCGTATAGTAGAAATCTTGCAGGTATTTGAAATGTATGTTAATATTGAATTCCTTTTGCCAATAACTAGCCATTTGAGAGATATCTTCACAAATAATGTGTCTTATCTGAAGTGCCAAGTTGTGATTTTTGTCTGGCAAGTAAGAACCAAGATGTGTTCTAGTAAAACAAATTTCACAAAAATCTTTTGATGTGCTTCTTTTTTATTTATTTATTTTAGAGAGGAAAAATCAATAACAAAATAATAACAAAGACAAAAATGAAAAAACACAAAAACAATAAAAATGATACAGGATTTCAGAACAAGATTATAGGAATTAACAATGGCTGTTATATTACATATTGTTATCTTCAACAAAGTTGCTCAGATTACTAGATGTAAGAATGCAAGATGATGTGTTTCTTACAGGAACTATTTTCTTTAATAAAATAGAGTGAGGAATCTGTTGCTTTTTAAGTTAGTGCAGAGAATACTATTACCACTGAGTAAAATAAAACTAATCAGAGTGATATTTTATTTTTCAGATTATTATTTAAGTAAATTCCTAATTGTAGTATCCTTAAGGAGGTTAAAGTGCCAGCAATTTAACTTAGTCTTATACCCATAGTTTGAAGTCAAAGTGTAACAATTAAGATAAAGCTATTGGTATTTCTTAATTAGTCCATAAGTTTTTAAAACTTCTCAGAGTATTTACTAACTATAAAGTCAACTTATGTGCAAGTCAGATGACATGAGAGATTCTAAAGTTTGAGTAAGCAATTTCTATCAAATTTTTTCAATTTGTCATTAATCTACTGTTAAAATTGGTAAGACTCTCCTGTTACTTATGGTCACCTACCAGCAGGGGTCACTTTAGCTCAAGGACCTTTTTCCCCTTTCTTGTCTGTGGAATAGAGTAGTCTTGGTCTAGTGTACTGGAATAACATGAGAGTGTATTTAGAGCTCCAATTATTAGAATTTGTGCTCTTTCTAAGCTTAAAAAGTAGTCTTTTGAGTTTTTTCAACCTATCCAATTAGTTTTAAGGCCATGTAAACCACCTAATCTTAACTCTAGATATAGTAACTTAGATTGACTGTTTAAGAGTAGTAACATTATTTTAATCTTTTGATTATAGGAACTTCTGTTTAATTAGTTGCAGTGATAGTTATTTCAAGCTCCAGACAAACTTTTTGTGTATTGAGGATGATGTACAATGACTTAAAAGTTGTCAATGGCCAGAGGATCACAAACTAATTTAGATGTTATTTTTCAATTTTATTGCTTTACTTAAAAGAATTTTCTTATGCCACTAATTGAAAAAATTCCATTTATTAACCTCTGGAAAACGTGGCACTATTAAAATATGAATCTTTGAAGCTTTTGGCTTGAACTTGGTAATTTCAAAAAAAATCAATGTTAAAACAAGTTTAATGTTGAAATCAACTTAGTTTAACCAATTTAAAACAAAAACAAAACAAAAACTTTCTTTAGCTTATTGATATTAGTCTCTTACCATCATCTGCATCTCAGTATCAGTATATTGGGTAGGCAAGTATATATTACTAGTTTGTGAGAGTCAGCTATCAAGTTAACTGAATATTGGTGGCTGTGTGGTTTAGCAAGTTCCATGAAACTTTTTCTCATTTTTTAATTTAGAAATTTTAAGCATGTAGGACTTTTGAAAGAATAGTATAGCAATCACTTTTATATCATCCTATATATTCAACAATATTTTGTTCTGTTCTCTATGTATGTATACATATTTTTTAAGCCATTGGAATTCAAGTTGAAAACACCATGACATTTAACTTCTAAATATTTTAGCATCCATCTCCTAAAAATTAGAAGTGTTCTTCTTTATAGCTGCAATAACATCATCATATCTAAGAAACTCTGCAGTAACTTCTTAGTGCTAGCCAGTACTCATTCTGTCATCAAATTATCCCAGTTGTCCTCAGAATACATTTTATGGATGATATTTACAAACCAAGCTTTAATTAAGACTTGCATATCATATTGTAACTGTTTTAGAGATTCAGTGCCAATAGAAACTTATTATACTCAATATAGTATGCTTTCCTCTCATATTCTGATACAAGTGTTTATGCTGACTGTTTTCATGAGTCACACCTGCCATTGATACAGATGAAGTAGACTCTGGTTGGCAGTAGGTGGAATTTATAAGCTGTTGGTAGGATTTTGAAAAATTGTTTTTCTAAGAGTGAAAGAATGTCTGTGCATTCTTTCATATTTTATGGGTGTACTTAATCCAAAGTGTATAAATATGTATGTTATATGGATATGTTATTTATTTTATGCAAAAAGGAAACCTGGTATAATTAGGCTTCATGTATTTTCTTAGAAGTTGATGTGCTTATTTTATTAAAAAATTCCAGATTTATAGGAAAAAAGTTTTCTTTTAGTATTTTGGAAGTGGAACATTTTTAGAAGGATTAACCAAACTACAGATACCTTTATGTCAATATTTGATATTACTTAGGTTGTAAACTCTTTATTTTTGTAACTGTTGTACTTTTAATAAGACTACAAAATAAGGTGGTTTTCATGTACTTGTTGTTTCCCATGTGAATTTCAAGCAATGTACAATGTATCTTAAATGATTTTTTTGGAGGTCGTGTGGGACAGTGGAAAAAGTGCTTATCTTAGTAGTTAAGAGACCTTGGAGTTACATTTGTCTTTACTATTTAGTAGTGAGCATACCTTGGGCAAGTATTTTAACCTCACTGACTTTTGTATTTTCATGTGTAAAAGGGGTAATATCAATTCTGCTAACCTGATGGGGCTGTTTCCTCATATGAAATAAAGACATAGGGTAGGAGCTTGGAAACTATAGGATTCTTTAAAATGTAAAATTATGATGTATATATATATGATTACCTTACAGTTTCTTGTCTTGGCAGTGAGTTTTTAAAAATGAATTAACCTATCTTTAGAAAGGATTAGAAATCATATGATTTGGAACCATATGATGATTCCAAAGTTAGAATCATATTTAGTCTTTTCATTGGGTGAAATAACATTTGTATTGTGTTGTTTATAAGAATTAAATTTGTTCAATTAAAATCAAATGATAGTAAAAATATTCTGATGCATTTAAGATGTACATTGTTTTGAGTGAGTCTCAAATTCGTTTTGATACAAATTTATTGATAAATATGACAAGACAAACGTTTTAAAAGTTTATAGAGTTTGTCAAAGTTTGGTGATCTAAAAGCAGCCTTGTAAAATTTCAACCATGTTTAAATTTGCATAGAAAATTAAAATTCTGTTTGAGGTTCAGCTCACTTACTTTAATTCTGTGGAGAAATTGTAGCTAACTTGAACCTTCCTAGAGTTTGTATTGTAGTATTTTATCATCACAAAGTTAGTAGGAGTGCAGGTGGAATATCCCTTATCCAAAATGCGTGGGATGAGAAGTGTTTCAGATTTTGGAGTTTTTCAGACTTTGAAATGTTTATTTAGCAGTTGAGCATATCTGGAAATCCAAATGCTCCAGAAGCCGAATCATTTTATATAACAAGTCAGAGCTTAAAATGTTTGGGATATTGGAACATTTTAGACTTCAAATTTTTGGATCAGTAAGGCTTAGTCTGTACGTGCTTTCCTGTTTTCTTTCATCAAGTGCCTAAATAAACACAACAGTGGCACAGGTTTTGATTCTTTAGATATTTTTATTTTTCACAGTTTCATTGCTGTTTTCATACAAGTACTTAGAAAGAACTTAAAAATCTGGACACTGGATGCTTTTTCTATTTAAAATGGATTATGAGAAAGAGTAAAAGAGGGAAATATCGCTAGAGTTGTTTGTAAAGACATTTCGGATAATTTTTAAAGTGCTTTTGGCACATGGAAATTTTCACCAAGATTTTCTTATTTTAAATATAAGAACTTAATACAGTATAGTTCATAAATGGTGTAATTCTTGAGGCTCTATTATGTGTAGAGGCTTGTCCTCTCCATACATTTTATAGAAGCCACTGATGTTTTATTTGTTGCCATGAAATTATATAGGTTAAGATTCTTTTCTTCTGTGTATATTTAGGAACTAACTTTTTGATCTTTTAAATACAAAAGATGACATTTGTGTTCTACATATCTAGGTTCTTACTGCATTTAATGAGTACATAATCTTTTCCTTTTTCAAACAGAGATGTGCTCCTGCATCTATCAGACTCATGGACAACAAGCAGTTTCAGTTCGGTAAGTGTGGACTGGTGATTTCAGAATCTTCTCAGTTAGTCCCACCCTTGCAAAGCTAGAAAGCTGAGCATGAAAGTTCTCACCCTTTGGGATGATCCCATCCACCGAAAAGAGACAGTTACACAGGCAATGAATGCAGCTGCACTGGGTACCCTTAGTGAAGGGGGCTTCATTCTGTTTTTGATTTTGCTCGAGCTAGAGGGTGGAGAGTCCAAAAAAGGCTTCTGAAGGACGTTTATGCTTGAACTCAAACTTCGAAGATGAGCTGGAGGTGTGCCGGAGATTGTCTTTTCTTTGCTACCAAATGCATTTACTTGTTAGCAAAACTGAGTAGTGAAGGCTCCATAGGGTGTTGTAGGGTGCTCGAGTAGGACGTGTGCCTCAAATAGAGAGCAGGGAAGGGGTGTTACATGAGAGGAAGCTGAATGGGCCATTCAGGGCTTTGTGATACAGGACTGGATTTTATCTTGTCAGCAGTGGGGCTTCTTTTGGAGGGAATGAGATCAGTCAGCTCTACAGTTTAGAAAGCTCATTCTTGCGGTATTGCTCAGGATGGATTAGAAAGATGTAGACCTGGAAGAGATGTTAGGAGGTGACATAGGTGAAGAGGCAAATTTGGGGTATAAATTTACTTTGAGTGAAGAATTAGAAATGAAAGTAGAGACCATAGATTTTTAAAAAGTCAGTTAACCAACTAGATATGCAAGGTTAAATAAAGGGAAGAGTTGAAGACAATTCCCAAATTTTGATTTGGTTGGTTTGGTGGATTAAATAATAGTACAGAAGTAGAAATGGTGTTTGAGGGAAAAGATACTACAGTGGATTATATCTAATACTATACTACATCTAATACTACGGGGGATACTTGGGTAGAGAATTTAATAGGCAGTTATGTCTCAATACATTTTTCTTTTTCTATTTTGGCTAAAGTATTAAACTTTTTTTTGTTTTGTTTTATTTATTTCTTTTTCCGGTACTGGGAATCGAACTCACGACCTTGCGCTTGCCAGGCAGGCACTGTGCCGCTTGAGCTAAATCCCCAGCCCCTAAAGTATTAAACTTTTGACATCATTTGTTAATTATATGGTCAGTTGTATTTTTATTGCTCTAATATACTTTTCATATGCAGAAATATACTTTGGGATTTAAGTTTATAGAATTTAAATACCTTCAAAACAGTTCCTGAAGTTATGAGAATGATTGCTCAGTAATAAATACTAAAGGCTAAGACAGGAAGATTTTGATTGTCATATCTAAGAGTAGTTCAGATTTTAATGTAGGGAAGAATATATAAACTAAGGTAGTCAGGTTCATAACATACCCAGAGATAGTTTTTAAATTAAATTACTCTGAATTACAGTTAGTTTTTAAAATTACTTTCAAAACACTGTAGTTTTGATAAATAAAATTTTAAAAGTAAATGTGCCCTGTAAATAATGAGATACTTGAATGCAAATCATGCCTTCTGTTTGGATCTGCATTTAGACGTGTAGGTCTTGAGAAAATGAGTAAGTAATATTACACATGGCAGCCTTTGTAAAACTAGCTTTCATTTGACCAGGTTTTATTTACTGTGTTTCTGATTGGGATCTAGTTACAATTGGCTTTCATCCTTGTGATTCTCGCTACTATGCCTACAAGCATACTTCCATATGCCCTTCCAGCTCCTAGTAGGCCCTAATCTTGACTGTCTTCTCTCTGCTCTTTACTGAGCTACCATTGTCATACAGAGCTGATCATGCTTCTTGGTTGACCATAACCTATTTCATTCCTGAGTGTCCTTTGAACCCTTCCATTAACAAATTACCATCATGACTTTATGATCAAGCAACCAAAGGAATAGTGGTTAACTTGCAAGGGGTATCAGGACTCTGTAGGTAGCCTTCTTGCTGATTCATCACCATTTGTAAAGTATCAGCTATATTCTTAGTTGTTAATATTTTTAATATCACCACTTCCTCTGGTACAACTGAGATTGAATTCAGTCTGTCTGACTCCAAAGCCCAAGGCTTGTGCTGTTGTCTCAGACCCCTTCTTTGCTTGACTTACTTAAAAACCAGTGTCACTTTCATAATAATTTATTCTTTAAAGCTCATGTTGCTTCATTACTGGCCATATATGCAAATAGTTCTCACTAGTAAAATGGAAATCATGCACATAAATGTCAGTGGGTTAAGGTGAACATTTACCCTTAAGGATCATTTCATGTTATAGTAGTAACATTTGGATTCTTTATGCGTTATACAAAGGTATGTGGATTAGAAGACTTTTGTATGTAATATAATTTCCATTTTGTGCAAGAACACAACACATACTTCACATGTTTGTATTATTTAGTTCTAATTGTTTATGTAGATAAATTCCATTTGGTACAGGAAGTGAGTGATTAGTTGATGTATTATTGCTAACTTTATACGTGCTAGAAATGGTATGTTTTTGTAAAGCATTGGTTATGCTGAGGAGAATCTCTGGTAGGTTAGAATAAAAAACAGAGTGAGTCTTTTATTTTTGATCTAGGATCAAGAAGATTGTTAGATTGATCTCTATCTGTACTTTGTTTTGTTTGATTATTGCTTTGTCTTTGTAGCTCAGTGATAGCATAATAATCTAACTCTTAGCTTTTAGTTAAGACTTACATCACAGGGGCTGGGGATTTAGCTCAGCGGCAAAGCGCCTGCCTGGAAAGCACAAGGTCGTGAGTTCGGTTCCCGGTACCGGAGAAAAACAAAAAAAAAAAAAAAAAGACTTACATCACTTGGTTTTTTATGTAACACCACTTCCTATTATAATCAGCAAAACTGTGGTAAGTAAGTATTATAGATTTGGGTCCTCAATTTTAAAAAGAGATGAGAAAAAAAAGGAATAGGTATTGTTGTACAATACCTATTGTTGTATTGCTACCAGGAATAGGTATTGTTGTACAAAACAGCTTGTTTGCTGTTTGCATTTATTTTAAAGGAAAGTCCTATATTTTAAAATAAGCAAAATCCGAAGACCTTAAAGACTTTTTTTAAAAATAAACTTTTTATTTGGAGATAATTTTAGATTTAGTAAAGACTTTAAAATTTCTTTATAAAAATTCTGTATAAATGATACGCCACATTTTTCTGAATCGGCCTCATAGTACTGCAGCCAGATGCGTGACTTAAATGTCACAGTCATGGGAATTGAGAAGTTGCTGCTGTCTGAAAACAATGAGAAAACAGTAAAAGCTTTTCACTCAATTAAACTTAATCCGCAGGCAAAGATGTTAATTTAACAGACTCTGAGACACCATTTATGTTCTTTTGGCAATTTTAACTCTCTGTGTGATTAAGGAAGCAATTGCTAGTTTTATGCCAAGAATTCTGGATGAGTTAAGAATTAATTAAGAAACAACCTTAAACTTTGCATCAACTCCATATTTGGTTATAGTTCTGAATGACTTCTATATAATTAAAAAAATAAAACCAGCCACCATTGGATGTTCTTAATGAAATAAAAATTAATGAAGTAGTTTTACTAATATAAATCGTATCATTGAAAAATAAACATAAACCATGTATAGTATTAATTACATATGGTAATTTGACTTAATGAACTGAGAATGGTGTTATGTAAATAAAAACTTGTTTGTGACTTTTGAAAGAAGACAAAGGTATATATACATATTAGTCAGAAAACCTTTAACTTTTGGGATACTAAGTTGACATAAACTTCTGCTGTTAATTTAACATATAAACTTTTTCTCTTGTAGGTCATGCTCTTAAACCTCCAGTTTCCTCTATTTTTACATCATTTTTAGATGGACTGAAAAAGTTCTATATTACAAAGGTAAGGATTTTTATAAAATGCTGAAATTTTAAATGCTTAGTGTACGGTATTAATTTTATTACTGCCTTCTTCCCATTATAAGAATGTTTTTCCATGTTGCTGCATACATTTTATAATCACTGTTTTTTATATTGGAATAATATTTTATCAAGTGAGTCATGCATTCCATTTTAGAAATTTCTTCTTTCTCGTTTTAGAGTTTCTAAAAATAATACTGCATTACATGGCCTTATGCTTACAACATTTTCTAAGAGTATGGATTTTGTTTTTTAACCTTTGATCGCTGAATTGGTTTCCTAAAAGGTTATACTAACTTGTACCACCACCAGAAATACAAATATGTCATTTTCCTTTGTTGTAGACTTGTTAGTACATCTGGGTTTTTTTCTTGTTTTGCTGTTATGCCTTAAATTTAGCTGGGCGAAAATAGCATTTTATTTTCATCATGTTTCTTAAAACTCACTGAGACTGAACACTTCTGTATTTTGTAGATGTAATTTTTAGTGAATTAGTTGGATATGATTGTTTTGTGAGGATGACAGAATCTTGTTTCTTGGTGCTTTGATTTGGGCCCTTTTACTAATAGAATCATTAGATGTTTTGGGCCATACATTTTGTAAGTAAATGTTACTAGTCTAACATGAGGTTTTCTTCTTTAGTGGTAGGGTTTCTTATTTTCATAAATTTTCTTGGGATTATTTGGTTCTAAGCTTGGAAAGGTCTTCCTTTCTCCAGAGATATGATGAAGGCCATTTGCCTCTCTCTTTTTATATTAAATTAAAATTAATTTT